ACGGTTTAGACTATATTCTTAACTCAAATACACAGTGGGCCAAAATTAAAAAATCAGTACTAGTCGAGGGCCGGACTGGTTCAATGTTTATTGCAAAACTCATTGCACATATTAAACATGGAACTAATAGCTTAAATGATTGCCTATAAAAACAACATTACACATTAAATAATCAGTTGGATTCATTTCTTATGGCTCTATCTGCAGTCATTTCTTTCACAACATGGTCACCTCTACCAGCCAAGCAAGCCGTGGTTGTCCAGCTGGAGTCTGTCGAATATGCTGGAAATTGGGGACTACTAATATTTCTGCAGTTAAACTTGATCTAATTGTATCATGCCTATCCTTTTTTTCAATAAAATCAATGGATCAGACATATGACTTTTGTTTATTTTATATACAAATCAAAGACAAGTATGGACAATATTCGTATATAAACAAGATTTATTCAAAAAAAGTGTGGAGAATATACTTTATATACTATAATAATGTGTTAAAAAAAAAGAACGTGTGTTAAAAAAAAGGTATGAACAAAAAAAGTATGAACAATTTACATACAAAAATAAGGTCAGCTCTTGTTGTTGGTCTCCATCACCTTCACAATCCTGTCTACCAAGCCAAGCATTGAGTGGCTGTTCAGCTCAATTCTGCTCAACACCTTTAGGAACTCAGTATTGGCAGTATGCACCTCCTGAAGCATCGCCTGGCCCTGCTCCAGTAGCTTTTCATCCCTCACGTCACTTTTCTCCATATACATCAGAAGGCCAGATGACGAATCCCGCTTCCTTTTAACTACAAAGGGAAAAATAATAAAGTCAACACAGTATTCATGACATTTTATGAGATGTATATTATATACTGTGTAATGAAATGTTGTATTGTTATTATGGCTGCAGTTGCATAACTTGAACAACTACTACAATGACTATGCCATGATAAATGCACATGGCAACAGGGAACAGTATTACTATAATGATCACTGTAAACCTTACCCTGTTTGTTTCGGCCCACTGGCTGGATTAGGTTCACCAGACATTCCTGGGAAGAGCTGCTTGCCGTAAGAGGAGACCCTTCCATCCGCATTGGCGAGCTACACGCCGACGGTAGTGGTGGTTCCGACACAGTACGCTCCAAACCAGATATTTCTGTAAACACAATGAACAAAAGTAGCCCGTCAACAAATCATAAATCGTTAGTGAGAAGAAAGAAGATACATTGGAGGAGTTAGCTGTCTTTGCCATGGGGATACCTTTGTTTATTATTGTTAGCATTAGCATGCTAGCGCTATTATTGGTTTGGATGCACATCCGGTAGCTGTAGTAGCTCAACTTTAGCTTTATTGCCAGGTCTGTCGATAGCTAGATGGTTGTAAAACAAAAAGTCACAAACAAAACAAATCGGTAATGCATAACTCACCGTCCAATGAGCTCCGCACATTCAGCGACTCGTCCTGCAACACAATCGACGAGAGAGAAAGCGAGTTCACCGTGGATCCAAAACCACTCGTCGGTCTGTCTCCGAGGACCGAGTCTGAAGCAGTGTCCCACCAGTCGGAAGATCTGGGCTGTGTCCAAATAACACGCGACATCCGCCTTTCCGCCAGCTTCAACATGATCTGTGGAAATAACATTGAGAATCAGTTTTAATGTTATACCATAGTAATTAATGCTGCAAAGCTGGGTATTTTGAGCTTGGCGCATGCAGAGGCTAACAACAGCTAGCTCTAACGCCATCGAATAGGACGTATATTTACCTTCTTTCTCCTAACGAATCGTCGTTGAAGTTGATGATGATGATTGTAAAGAAGTCTTGAATGTAGCATGTAACGACTGTAAAGTTGGTAGTAAAGTCGTCCCATTTGTTCCATTTCGTTTCGACAGAGCAAAACCACAACGAGTAGCGCTTCAATACAATCTGCCATTGTTGTTGTTGTCGATGTGAGGGGTTTCCGCGCGGTTTGGCTTTATGAAGCAGGCACGCAGATGACGCAATGACGCAGCACCAATCACAACAGAGCCGGCCAGCTAACCAATCAGAGCAGACTGGGCTCTGGTTTCAGACAGAGGGTGAAAAGAGGTGCTGCAGCACAGGCAGTATGAGAAAAATAAAGAGCGTTTTGAACATTAAAGCATGGAGACATGTCACAGTAGAGCCACCAAAAATAAATATGAACCTAAAAAAAGAGCATAATATGGCCCCCTTAATTGAATTCCACCACCTGTATACAACAAAAATGTACAAATAAATAATTGTAGTTAAATGTAAACTGTAGTTAAGTTACTTATGGTGAGACTATGTATTAAGTATGGGTGCTGCAATATACTGGTATATTCAATAATGTATTATTTTATATTTTGCAGTGTTGTACAGTAAGAAGCCTCTGGGTGTCACTCCAGAAGAGGCAGCGACTGAGATCGTGAAGACACTGAGCAACAAGAGGAAAGAGGTCCTGATCGCTCCCTCGCTCCCAAAGATGGCTGTCTACGCCAGGTCCTTCTTCCCCAACGTGTTCTTCGCCGTGATGGCTGCAGGAGTGAAGCACGCCGAGGCCTCTGAGAATATGTAGAGCTGTAGCAGAGAAGAAAATATGACATGAGATTTACCGCTGAAGGTGTAACAAACCGGTGGAAATGGGAGTCATGTTTTAACAATGGCAGTCCCAAATTTGACCATGCAGAAAAACCAAAAATAATCTGTTCTTTTTTTTGTTCCCATAAATAAATATTTTCAGCTACAATTAAGATTTGGCTTCATTGACGATAGCATCTAAACCATGCTAGTGTGGTTCTTACATGTATTGACAGATATTTTATTTGAAAATTGTAAAATGAAAAAAGAACAGGCTGCAATTCAAAAGACACTTACTGAATTTGATGTTGAATTACCAGTTTTTCCATGAAAAAGAATTGTCTTCCAGTAAAACATACCCCACTTAGTATGTTCTAACTACATTTAAATAATGTATCAATACTGTCAACCTAATTATTCAAATGACTGACATTTACAAATAAAGTTTTGTCTCATGTTATCTTTTTTTTCCTTCCTGGTTTTGTCCAATTATCTTTATCTTTTTATGATGTTATATTGTGATGTCATCAGATTATGTAATCAATTTACATTATCATACATCATAAAAAAAATACAATATTATTGTATTCAAACCGTTCAAAATGTGAATTATGAGTTGCGGTTTTAACAAAGGTAGATTGGTGCAGTCACTGAGACGTGCTATGGTTTTGAGCTGGATAAAAAGGAGGTTCTGACGATCCGGTTGATGCCGAAAATGACTTGTGAATTTGTTGGAAGCGAGAGTTGAATTTGTAATGGTTAGCCGGAGTTTTGATTGATTTTGGTGTGGGGTTTTATAGCAATGATAAGCATTTCAGATTGATCACAGTTGAGTTAATTAATGTATGTAAGGCAGTTGATGAGAGGGGAGAGGGTTGCAGTGGATTTTGTTTAAATCTAGAGCTGGACATCATTGGTAAAGAAGTTGAAGAGGCCATGGTGGCGTATGATATTGCCAAGGTCTATCTAGGAGGTAGAGAATGAAGAGGAGAGGATCAAGCACCCAACCCTGAGGGACGCCTTGGGACAGGAGAGGGAAGGAGAGGTGATGTTGAGGGACGATTCAAGACCAGAGAGAAGAATGGTGTGGTTGAAAGCTACAGTAAGGTTCTGCAGGGTAAGGATGCTGTGGTGTCCAGAAAATTGGAGAGTAGCATGTTGTCGGTGACTCTGAGGAGGGCTGTTTCTGTGCTGTATTGTGAATGGAAACAAGATTGGAAAATGGTTCGGACAGGTCGTTGTAGTTGGTTGATAGTTTTGACAGAAAGGGGAGATGGGCCAGAAATTACCCATGATGTCAGGGTTAAGTCATGAGTTTGCTATGTGTATTATTTCACTGTAAAAAAAAAATATCACTATATTTTACATTTGAATATGAGTAGATGTATTGTCATGGTGGAACATTTAAATCAAAAAGTAAATTATAAGAAATGTATCTGTACTTGTCTTTGTGGATTTAAAATACAAATTAAAGTACGTTTGTGTAAACCCTTGTCATGTTAATGTTGTTCTCTAATTGTTTTATTTCATTTTTAATTGGAAATTATTGGAAATTTATTTTTCAGTTTATTGCGAAGTGAAGCAAAGTTTTTCCCTGACAAACCTTAATAAACTTTAGAAATCAGAGAATATATTTAAAAAAAAAAAAAATTCTACCAAATGTAGGGTTTTGCTTGTGACATTATTTCTAAAAGATTATTTTCATTATAATTTTTAATCTTAGAGAATATCCAAGTTTTTTTGTCCACAAATGTGGGACTTTAAAGGTGGGGTAGGTAATTTTGGAGAAACCAACTCGAGTGCGCTAAAATTTGAAAATACACAGCCGGAAAAAATCTGCCACTTCCTTACAGAGCCCCTCCTCCAACACACACGAACGTGCACATGACCAATGAGGGCACGAGATAAGCTTGTGCACAGATGGAAGGCTGACAGGCAGGTAGGCCATCCAGTTATTTTAGCCGGGCCGGCTAAAATGATTGGTCGTGCTTTTTACAGTACTACGGCTTCCACAGATTAATTTTTTTAATGGATTTTTGGTCAAAGCATTTAAGATATTCATTGCTATCGGGATGTTAAGAGCATTCCATGGAATATAACAAAAAGTGTATCTCGAGCCGGTTTCTCAAACTTACCTACCCCACCTTTAATATTGGAAGTTTAAAATTGTGTTTTACTGTCATCCATCCTTTTTTTAAATGTATTAATAGTATTACTAGTATTACTGTTATATATTGTTGTATAGATTATGTAAATAAATAAAACAATTAAACACATTAACGTTATAAAACAATATATATGTAATTGCATTTTAATAACCTCTGTTTGTTCTGTAAAGTGGAGATCAAAGAAAGGTTATGGATAAGTTAATCATTATCTTTTTCTAGCATGTGGCGCCCCCTTGTGGTCTGTCTTTACAACAACCACTATTACATGCTGCTTAGTTATTATACGTGTCTTTTTAATGTAGGCTATAAATGGCATTTAAAATCTTCTCCAGACTCACCTCGTTAAACCTCCAAATTAAGGGTCCACAGACTGCCTTCAGGGCGTTAAGCTCCGGCTGCAGTTTATCGGTGGAACACGACCGACAGAACCGGCGCTTCACCGTCACTCAGGGCAGCGGGGCAGGTAAGCACATAGCCGAGCATGACGCTCCTCAGCCCGGGGAAATCCTGTAAGAGAGCCCGGTGTCTACTCGCGGCCTACTAGAACACATACATCTATGCGATTGATTAGTTCACCGTTAGATTAAACATGTATTTCTTTAAAGATAATGAGTTCAATTTTACATTTATATTGGCAGTTTCGTTTTTGTGAGACAATAACACCAAGCGAAACATAATCTAAAAATAAGGGAATTTACTGTAACTTTGTCAATGGTAAACGTTTCGCAGCCCATATGTACGATTTGTAATTGTTATGATGTGTTTATATCCACCTAACAGTTCGGCATATATATCATTAGCAAAGGTGACACATTTCAGCATAGTGTTGGCTAGTAAGTAACAGTAGAACCGCTGAAGCCGTCTAGAAGGGCACACTTAAAAGTAGCTATTTGCGGAGGGAGTTTTATGGAAGACAATTTACGCCAATGTGATTAAAAGCAGGGTTGCCAACTCTCACGCATCTGGCGTGTGACACACGCTTTCACTCTCAATCTCACGCTCTCACGCTGCCCAAACTATTCTCACGCCAAAAACAAGAATACCGAAGACTAGAAACGGTTTTGAAAACTTTTGTCACGTAGTGATCATCTTCTAAATAAAACATCTTTGATAATGTCTTCTGGCCAATCAGAATCACGATAACGGCGTGGTGTTGTTGCAGGAAGTCCCGACGGAGAATACTTTTGCGGTAGTACATCTCTATACATCGATACAACATTACGTGTTGATAGAAATCAACACGTAATGAAATAAGACCCCACGGTTTGATGATTGATAGGTGTGTGGGTTGTCTTTCATTTTGACACACAGAACAATGGGGGCTATCCACCCTTATCCACAATGTAAAGTAATTCACACAGCCTCTTCCCTCTTCTCTCTGTGAGGAGCAGCAGGTTCAGCTTTCAGAACAAAGTCACAAAAAACTAAAATTAATTAATTTGTTTAAATATGTTGTGTAGTAATAGATTTATTTATTTTTCTTCTCAAGAGAGTACCAGAATGTGTATTTTATGTTAGTATTTCCAAAAATCTCCTGGGGGAGAATCCCCCCAGACCCCCCTGCAGGGGTTGGGTCTTCAGCATGTCAACTCTTTCACCTGTGGGGAAATTGCAGGATTGGCTCCAGGTCGCCCTTTTATTTACTGCAAGACAAATGTGCCTTTTTATTTCATACAGTTCAATTTGGATTGAGACAGGGAAATGATCTAAACCTCACGCGTGGCGTTTCACTGTCGGGGGGAGCGTGTATGTAATTACATTGCAAATACTGACTTGAGCCCCACCACTGTATGGGTTAGCCCTACCATAGATTACCCAACAAAAATACTCTGGAGCCGCAACTGCCGACCCGTATTGCGCATGCGCAGATCTAAAATCCAGTAGAAATGATAAAAAAGTAAAAGTCTGCTGCTTATTGTTCTACTAGGCCAAAATAGAGTCAAAGAGTATATGAGAGTGAGAGTGTGTTAATTAATATATTTGGCAGTTTGGAGTAAGTCTGTAGATTTGTTTGTGTGTGTGCATTTTTATTTATCGTACGATAAGTCAATTAATTGCTTATCGCGACAGGCACACAATAAAACAGTGGAAACAAACATGTTTGACTTTCATTAGTGAATGAAACTGTGTGCCCTTTATAGTCTGTGTCCATTATTGTGTATTTGTATATATTGTATATATATCCTATATGCTAAGGTCCCGCTGCTGACACGATAGCAGTCATTTCGTGCGCATATGTGTAATTAAACCGAATTAAACCCATGATATCAAAATCTCACTCCAGCCAGGTACCCAAAGTTGGCAACCCTGTTAAAAGACGAGCCTGTACATCTTTATAATGACACTGAGACTAGTTTCCCCACAATAATAAAAACTGTGTTTTTAAATGATGACACATTTCTTCCCTAAATAATTACTTCACTATCTCAAAATAAAAATAAACTTCCCAAAAATAATCACGTGTCTCAAGAAAATGAATTAGTTGTTCGAAAATAATGAGACACTTTCACCAAATATTCATGGTAAGTCATTATTTTGACCACGTTTTTTCTTATTATGGCTTACATCATTTTTTTCATTCAAGTTTTCATACTATTTATTTTTTTCTGGCAAAAATGGTCATGGACGTCTATCAAATGGGTAAGCAAAAGGCTTTTTTTGGTCTCATAGAATTTCACTTTCACCTCATGTCCCTCACCCAATTAGAATTCAAGAAAATATGAGCTAAATCAATAAATACTTAAGTAATTAAAAGTAAACAGTTGGATTCACATGTTTAATTCTCTTTTTAAGGGTCCTTTTTCTGATCCGAGTCATTTTAATTAAACACTGAGTCTTTCTCCTCCTGTTTCCCCAGGCGGCCATGCAGAGTGTGCAGTGCTGCACTACAAATTCACCGGAGAGAAGGAAGTGGACTTAGTGTCAACGTATGTTCCAGAGACATTTAGGGGCCAAGGTGTTGCTGCATTGCTGTCACAGGTAACTTAAACTTCATGCAGGCATGTGCAGGGTCTAAAAAGCTGTATTTAGCATATGTAATACTTCTTTTACAGGCTGCCATGGACTTCCTGGTTGAAGAACACCTCAAGGCTCACATCTCCTGCTGGTATATAAAGAAATACATTGAGGATCACCCGATGAAAACTTATAAAGAACTTGTGATCCCTTGACTGCAGCCAGATTGTGAAGAACAGCCAGTGATGCTACCTCAAATGATCTTTAACCAAAATCAGTCAAAAATAATCTGAATAGATATTTCAAGTTGTAAATTGTTGTTCGACAACCTGAATTATGTAAATTGATTTTTCATACCAGAAAGCACTTTTTAATATTTTGTCATCTTTAATTAGTTAATTCATAGTTTCTCACTAAGTATTACTATTTATTAATTATTTAATATTTGGAAAAATAAATGCAAATGTTAACCAGGCATAATGTTTGATTTTTTTTATAATTTCTGCAAAAATAATTAACACTTTGTGTCTCTGATGCAGAATAATGGGTGCTGAATATCATTTAAAAAAATGCTTGTAATGTAGTTGTCACTCTTCAGTAAAATTCTGCTAAAATGTAGCAACAACTCTTAAAGAATATGCATTTGTTGATGATTAAACATGATTTTCTGAGTATTATGGTATCTGGTGGATTATTTGCTGGATAGGTTACTTTGTCAGTATTGATAGAGCCAATCAAAACAAGTATAGATATAAATAAATATCTATATATAGTTGTTATTAAGTACTCTGTATCACAAAATAATATAATACCCGAGGCCAAAAAACTAAACCAATGGAGAAATGTAAATAAGTACAGTTAATAATGTACTGTATTTGAGTAATACATTTAGATACTCTAAGTCTTTACATTTTTCATCTTCAATAATACCTATACTTTATTATCAAATTATACATAAATGCATTTCTGTAAAATACAAACAAACCTTGCATATTTCAAGTACGCTCAAAAGACAATATACTTTTATTCCAATAGATGTCAGTCTTACTCCTTTATACTCTTATTTAACTGTCAATGTTAGATTTATATCTGAAATTAAAATATCTGCATTGCATTGATATGAAGTGTGTGAAAGCAACAGATGTTTGTTGGAGACAAAGTAAGTTTTTTTTTTTAACATTAACAACTAAAGCATGGAATTTTATTTTAGAAAAAATACATACAGGCAAATTGTTCATAATATGCACCATCAAACACTTGATAAATAAGCCTTTTTGATATCAATAAGCCCTCACCTTTTTATATTTGTCCCTGCATGTGCACAAAATGTAAATTTGGCTCCAGAGGAGAGATCATTAATACATTAATGAGCGATCCTCGTCTGATCCTCTGCGCTCCATATGAGCCGCATGATGAATAACAGTCAGGCTTACAACACTCACAGGCTGCAGACAGAAGACTTACTTTCTGTTGACATAAAAACCCCTCTGCTCAGATGTGTTATAAGGATTTTATGGATTATTACACAATGATAAAAGGCCTGCTTGTGCAAAACAGCTGCTGCTGCATCCTCTGTAGTTGTTGTGTGTCTTTTTGGGACTTCATAATATGTGTGTCTTGGTAGTCGTTTTGCGTCTTGACGTGTGTAGTCTTTGTGGTCATTATTTGTTCTTAAGTGGTTATTTTGCATGTTGTTGGTTGCCTTGATTTTTGTTTGTGTCTTTTTGTTTTCATTTTGTTGTCATCTTGTTGTCATTTTGTGTCTGATAGTGGTTGTTTTGCTTGGCTTTATGGTGGTCTTTTTTGTAGGTCATGTAGTAATTTCTTTGTCTTTGTGGATTTATGTGGTGTTATTGATTTGTGTGTCTCTGTGGTTGTTTTGTGTGTATTATTTGGTTGTTTTGCATGTTTTTGTGGCTTTATTTTTGCATTTCTGTATGGTGTGCTGTGTGTGTAGTTGTTTTGTCTTTTTTGCTTGGCTTTATGGTGGTATTTCTTTGGGTCTTGTAGTAATTGTTTCTCTTCATGGTTGTGTGTTTTGTTGTTTTGTGTGTCTTTGTGGTTATAGTTTGTGTCTTATTTGGTTGTTTCGCATCTTTTGATTGACCAACAAGAAATGGTAACCATCCAGTAATCCATCAATGATGTATAGTGCAATATGTTCTCACTCAGAACCACTGTCCAGCCTTTTGAGTACGTGACTAAGTCTTGTCCCAGAGGACAACACATGAGCAACATTTCCATGCATCTTGACTTAAAAAAAGGCCAAAAGCAGAATATCTTTGAAGTTAAAACATAAATAATCCATGCCGCAGCAGCAGGCTGCACATCCTGCAGCTTGTTACAGATTAGTGTGAAGGCTATGAAATTGCAGCCCTCTTCCCTTCCTCCCACAAATAGAATCGCATGGAAAGATTTGATGAAATGCATGTTGCATCAAAGCCGACCATGTAACATTATTCACATAAAAAAAGAATCTGGGCTGTGGCCTCACAGGACACACATTTGATGTGTGTCAACAAAACAAAAAACACTCCTGTATTAGAAATGTTAATCCAGGAAACAAGAGTCAATCTGGAACATCAGCGCTGAAAAGTGTTCCAGTGGGACACGGGGGCAGGGACTCTTTAACAGTACACCTCTCCTTGGTGTTCTGTTCCATCGTCCATCTGCACCATGTACGTAGTTCCTGTGGAGGGTTTGTGGCCGTTGACCGGCAGTTCCAGCTTTGCCTCGGCTTCAGCGGGTACGGCCGTCAGGTACATGTCCCACATCTGCTCGGGGAGCTGCTGCTCCAGCATCTTCTGCTGGATCAGCAGGCTCTTCTCGATGTTCCGCCGCTTGTATTTGAACTCTACGATGGTCTTTGTGTATCTATTGAGGGCCGTCACTGCAGAGCCCATGCAAGTGCCGAAGGAGCCCCACGCTAAACTGCAGAGAGGTTTGGAAACAGACAGGGTACATTTACAGGGAGGTGTTTTTACTGTGCATTTTTATCAAGAAAAGTGACAGAGAACTTGGATTTCTTCTTTTTGTTAAAAAGGATTTTAAAGAATCAACTGTATATATATATATATATATATATATATTTATGCTGATTTCTTAAGGAAAATATTTTTCATTTCAGTTTTCAGTCAAAATAAGGAAAGTTCTTACACATAAGACCAGCTGTAGTCCCAGGTCTTTGGCCTCCAGTCTTCTGGCCCCATCGCCACAGCCAGCTGGAAAATGGTGGTAAACATCATGTGGGCCACCATCCCACAAAGGCCTGAGAACATGTGGAAACCAGAGATAGTAATATTAAAATATATTAATAAAAAGTAATTTGTGCATTAACAAGGATTCTCATTTTAAAAAGCACAAAGTGACACATACTGCTCGAATCTACTGCTGCCAAGCAAACGAGACACCAGCAGTGTAATAAACAATTAGTTCAATTGTATTACAGCATCTCCAAAAGTTGTGGAAGACGTATTGATTATCTTTACTTTGGTAAAAGAGAGAACAAGGGGATAGAAAGTCAGAGACAACGTCCGGCTAAGATTGTTTTGACTAAGATTGATGAGTCATCAAAATGACTGATCTGTAGATAAAGAGGCTTACTGCAGGCGCCCTGTGCAGGATCAATGTGGGAAGAGAATGATGGCCGCAATGTGGACACTTTCTCTGTGTCCTGCTGGTATCAATATGATCTGTTACTCTTGGACCAGGCAGGACATCAGATTGGTCTCCAGCTTCCTTGCTCTCCAGTATCAGCGTATTGAATTTCCATCCATTTCCAAGTTCATATTAGTATTTAGTGCCTCTACTGTTACTGCCTGTGCTGCAGCACCTCTTTTCACCCTCTGTCTGAAACCAGAGCTGAGTCTGCTCTGATTGGTTATTGGATTTTAGCCTTTGCAGACCATTTACATGCACAAAAACCTATATAACACACTACAGGAAAGTGGAAACCCAAAAGCATAACAGGGCCCCTTTGAAATATTAACAAGTAACTAAGTCATTAAAGGAGTAGAAGTCAAATGTTTCTTGAAGTTAAAACACTGAAGTAATTCACAAGTACCTAAAATTGACCTTTGATGATAATGATTCTGGGGATTTAAATTGACATTTTATTATTTCCTGTATTTTTTTTATTGTTTAAATTAGTTTCGACTGCATATTGCATTGTCAGAGGATCCTGGGATTTAAGATGTTCTAGGCCAACAACCACGCTGTAGCTGCCTTTGAAAATAAATCCTCTGAATCCTGAACTTTGAACCTTAAGAAACAAATATTTACAGAGAGTATAAATACACTGCGTGAATGTGAATGTGGTGGAGGTGGCGCTCTCTCATGCAGCAGCCTGCTTCTCTACAGCTGCTTTTCTTGGGATTAACTGGTAACAGCAGGGGGGGGGATGGGTGTCCGGGGAGGGGGGGTGGAGGGAGCTCCTCTGGGCAGGTCTTGGCACAGCCCAAAACCGCAGATCCAATCCGATTAGTCCACAAACCAGCAAATCCTCCGAGGTAGAGAGTGCACGCGCTGCAGTGAGCCGCTGCACACTGACCTGCTGCCCTGCTCCTTTTTTCTTTTACAATACATGTATCTGCTGCTACTCTCAACACCCATACTTCAACACTCACTCTGTGTGTGTGTGTGTGTGTGTGTGTGTGTGTGTGTGTGTGTGTGTGTGTGTGTGTTTGATGCCGCTTAAACTTCAGTTGTTGTTTTTTTAAACCTATTGTTTGTTCATTTTTGTACGACTTTTGTGTAAATAAACATAAATATGATTTCAAGAAACTAAATATATGCAGGATTTTCCTCATTTATTACAAACTGCGCTTTTCCTGTCGAAACATAATGTGCAAAGATTTAATTTAACTCCGTTTAAGATCAGCCGATTCCTGTAGCCACCTGAACGGAGTTATTAGATACATGAAAAATAATTGAGGACAAATGCCCCCTTTACACATCCCCCCAAAAACCACAAACGTACCAAACAAACAGAAACAGAAACAGAAGGCACTTTAATCGGTACTGTTCTTAAACTCAATTTAGTATTAGCAAACCCAAGGGTCACAAAAGAGATTGATCAATATATAATCTTTTTTCTTCTAACATATTGACTATTTTCTTGCAATATTAGGACTGTTTCTAGAAATGTTACAACTTTTTTTGGAAACATAATTCTAGAAATATAATTTTCTCTGGAAATGTGACTTTTTATGGGAAAGTTTTTTTCTGAAAATAATACAATTGTGTATGCAGTTTAGCAAAAATGTAACCTTTTCTGTAAAAATAATTTGGCTTGTGAAACTTTTTTTATTTTTTTATTATTACACTTTGTCCTGTAAATTAATAAATATATATTACTGGAAATCTCAGCTTTTGCACTTCCTAAACCTGCTTTCTGCGGGAAAATTATCATTTATTATTTATATTATTAAATCAATCCTCAGAAACCAGATGGTCAAAAAACTAAATGATCTTAGATTAGCAATTGTTGGACCCTATGTTTTTGGAAGGATATTGCACTAACAGTTACATCCTAAAAAGTATGTAAAGACCGATTTTTCTTTTCATAATAAAACAATTCCTGACACATTGGATTTGTATTTGTTTTTTAATACTGCTTCACTGTATGTCCAAATACTTAAAAAAAACATTCCTATCAGCCTCAGCAGTACTGTGTTTAATGGTAATTAGCGAATTGGTGAACATGCTGAACATCATGTTGGCATTAGCACTGTGAGCATGTTAGGGACTCTTGTTGGTTTTTGTTGTTGTTTTGTGTAAGTCTTTAAAAATATCAAAAAATGGAAGGGTCAGTGTTACCTGACAGGGCGGTGCACAGGGCAGCGAAGGCACTGAGCTTCAGCTTGTTCATGATGCTGAAGCAGGGGCACTGCTCCAGGGTCATCAGAGCCCCCCCGGCGAAGAGCAGCGTGAGATACAGACTCTCGGCCACGATACACAACCACAGCACTCCTGGAAACAACGGAAACATGGGATTAGGCTGTGCTGTGTCCTCAGAATAATACCCTATCCTCAGGAATAATCCCACTTGTCTGCTCCTTTTAGGTCTTGAGATCTGAATCTGAGCAGATTCATAAACAAGGGCAGCGGCTGGTGCTATGTATATTACATGTATTTATTAAGCTGCTTTGTTGGTTCTAACAAGCTTGTAAAGGTGGGAAAACTCGGTAAATGTGTACGGTTTTGTTCTGTTATTTATTTTTTCTTAATGAAATGCAGAATCTTGGATCCTTTAATTAAATAAAAGTATAAATAGTCTTAAAACACTGTAAGTAAACGGTAAACTAAAGTAAAGGCATACAAGTGAAAATACAGAATTGAAAATGTTACCTAAGTATAAGTTCCAGTGTCAGCAAAATGTCCCTTTAAAAAAAATGTTTTCATTATTACTAGCAGCAATGCTCGTGTTGTTTTTGCCTTTGGATAAAGCTGAGGTCTTACTTGATACACTAACCGGACCTACATGGCATGGCAGTACATCTTTGCAATTTATGATTACATCAATTGTGTGCAATTACAGCAATTTGCCCACTTGTATGCATGCACATACTTCATATACTCCTTGACTCTTATAGTGAGTTTACACCGGACGCCAAGCACATTTTTGCTTTGTCATGCTTGTGCAAGTTTGACCACAGCAACATTTGTATTTACTTGCTTCACTCAAGGTAGACCCACCTGAGAGGAGGCAGGGCTAATCTCCATTTTCATATAGATACTAACTAGCTATCGCCAAAATAAACACTGCTGCTGCTTTGTTGTGGAAGTCCCTGATATGTAGGGAAACCAAATGTGTCAAGTCTTGGTTCATAACACCATCCGAGACACAAACAGTGATTTAACCAAGCTGTATGCAGGATTCAAATTATGTGGGAGCCAATGGGAGCTGAGCTCCCATAAGGAGGGGTCTGAGCTCCCACGGACGCAGTGAAATCATACATCTGTGGGGGTCGCTAATACATTACCAACAACCATTATTTTAATCACAAATAATGCATGTGTCAATGTAATGAGTATTATTTACGTTAACGAGGTAAATAGGCTAAAGAAAAAGACGTTTTCCAAAAGAACTACGCATCTCTTGAATGACAATATGCCTGCACTGCACCTCCAAGGTGTGCAATACATTATTGAGCAATCTATGCCTGTGAGCGTGCTGCGCGAGCCGAGATGATGTGTGTGTGCGTAGTTGAACCTTTTCATATTTAAGTTTGTAGCAAGTGTGTGTGTGTGTGTGTGTGTGTGTGTGTGTGTGTGTGTGTGTGTGTGTGTGTGTGTGTGTGTGTGTGTGTGTGTGTGTGTGTGTGTGTGTGTGTGTGTGTGTGTGTGTGTGTGTGTGTGTGTGTGTGTGTGTGTGTGTGTGTGTGTGTGTGTGTTAGTTAGTTTTAAAGACCCCCATGGAGCTCAGTTTATAACTCGAACCCTGGCTGTATGTATCTAGCAAGTCACAACCCAGCTGAATCTATCTTGTTGGCTAGAGTGATATGAACCAAACATTGACATGCAGGGATTTAATTGCACACAAGGATTCTGAAATGACTACAAAATTATAGCGGTTTGTTAAAAGTCAGAATTATTGTTGTTACATTGTAACTCAAGCTCAACTTCATACATCATATTACCTCTCTCATGTTCTGGTGCAATTTCTGAGAAGTCTCTGCAGTCAAACCCTGTTATCAAAAGAAAAAAAAGACAGTAGGATTTATTGTTGTTGCAGGATAAAATGACACTTCTAACAACTTACCTCTGACATTCCCTTGAAGAGAACATTTTATTGGGTAGGCTACTAATGAAAAAGTTATTCAAGGCTTTTTATTAGCAATACATTTCCCCTGAAGGCTAACGGTAACTGTGAATACAGTTAACTTCAACATATGGAGGATTTTGAAACTGACAATGTTTTTCACATTGCACAGGTTGTGCAAAGATGTTTAAAAATGTCCAAGGACTGTGCAAACGCTTACAGTACAAAGTAATAAAGTGAATGCACTGTACAGCTATATAAGCAAATGTGCCTTAATTTAAATCATATAGACAAATAAAGTTATATTGCTGTTAATAAAACACGTTCAGCGTAATCACTAATGAATAGGTAGGATTTGCATTAACTTTCTCGACATTTATACCTGTAATGTAGATTGACAAAATATTTAGATTTTTACTTCCTGCTGCATCACTTCCTGGTTTTGCACACCTAGCTGCAGCTGAAGGAGGTTTTAAAGTCAGACTAACCATTCATGTCGGCGGCCTGCTCACAGGAGAAAAATATTCCCGTGTGGAACTTCCTCATGAGGAACTTCTCCTCTCCGGTCTCGAAGATGTACTGCACCAGGCGGCTGTCGTTGATGTTGGTGCTGTTGAATCGGATGCAGAACCACTGCTTGGCTTTTGCGGGGCCGGTGCAGAAGGGTTTGGCCACCTTCCGGGTCCCCTCGCACCAGTAGCTGGTGGTCACCGCAGACAATGCAAAAGCAAACGCGACAAAGTTGAGGGTGATCGCCAGAGAAGCCCGCCGCCCTCGCTCTAGCCTCATGGTCCAGGCCAGAGGAGATGACATAAAAAAAGGCAACTAATCCTGGCTTTCGAAATGCAGCCACCGTGTTTTGCCTCCCAGCAGATGCATCAAATCTTCATAATCCTGTTGGGGCTTCTTGGGTGAGAACGCTTTACATCCCACCGCCGGCGCTAATGATGTGCCACCAACTTGATGAAAGGATTCATTGTCTCCAGAGAAACAATAGACAGCCATGGGAGTATTTTGCTTTTTCCTGATTAATTTGAAATATTTCTCTCGTCGCAGCTCGCCGTACCCTCGCTCCTCCCCTTCCACAAATCTTTTTCTGCAATATCATCCATTACACTTATATTCCAGACTTCCTTTAAGCATCATAATAAAATAAAATAAAAGATTAACTATGAGCTTAAATTATAATCCAGGGCAAATTTACATTTCCCAGATTTTTCTTTTCTGCATTTCATGTCAAAGGGCATCTCCAAAGCAATTTCAGCCGCACAAGATCAAGAGCCTGTTGTACAGCCGCTAACCCGTGACATAATGTGTACAGTGACAGTCTCATATGAAAATCCATCCATAATGTTTGCATGCAAGGCAAATCTCTTCACATCTAACAGCCTGCTGATGTGGGATATGCCTCGCAAAGTAAGACAAATTACTTGCAGAGGTATGTGAAGAAAATGACAGATGTTATGGGAAAACATCTGCCGCCTTTACGCTGATACATTTGTCTTTTTCCTGTCGAAGATTTTCCATCACAACACTAGCAGTTCAGACTTACTCCAACAAACCTGTCACCTTGTGTTTGAGCTGTAATTTAAAAAAGGAAAATGGGTGTCATTTTAATAGCTAAAATGCAGAGGTGAGATTTAAAGTTTGCTCAAGTCTTGCCAACATAAGATGCTGTTGTCTGAGATTGAAATTAGGCAAATGATCTGACACTAAGTTAAGACAATGTTTCCCAAACTGCAACATAAATTGGACATATTGAAGATGGTTTACAAGCAACAATAACCAGCAAGAGTCCCTAACATGCTTGCAATGCTAATGCTAACATGATGTTAAGCATGTTTACCATCTTGCTAATTACCATGAAACACAGTACAGCTCAGGCTGGAACGTTTTTTTCAAGTATTTGGTCAAACCAGTATTGGACACTTGGAAGGGATCGCCAATGTCGTATTTCGTTTTAGGGAGTCACAGTCCCTATGCTGTTGATCAGGTTAGAGCACTTGTAGCGCTGCGACCATGTTAGCATTTAGCTCGATGCGCTAATGTGACTTAATACAGCCTCAAAGAGATGCTAGCATGTACCCAAAACCTGGAAGTACAAATGCCGTGATTTCTTCAATAACAGGAATTGTTTCGGAAAATACATTGAGTTAAAGGTTTTATAAACAGTAAAACTGAAACACTTAAAGGTCACCTATTATGCAAAATCCACTTTTTCATGTCTTTTATACATAAACATGTGTCCCCTCTGTGTAAAAAGATTCTAAAAGTTTCAGGATAAAAAATTCACTCACTTTTTGTCCTGATCCATTTATATAAAAACCTGACAGAGAATCAGCACTTTTGAAACAGGGCTGAAACAGAGGGGTTTATGGGATGCTACAATGCATGATCTGTTTGGTATTTCGAGCCAAACACTTCAGAGACATGTTATCTGAGACCTATAATATATTGATGAAAAACAGTATAATAGGGGACCTTTAAAGAGATACCACAAACGTTTTAAATGGAAACTAATGGCAATTGTTTTACTACAGTTTAATAAAACTGTTGTGTTGCATTTGTTAAACTAAATGTATGGACATTGAAGGTAATGTAGAATGCATAGATAATATTGTATTCCCTTTTCAACCCATAGTCGGCCAAGCCTAAATGTTGTTTTTTTGTGTATTCGTGCGTCTGTTTTGTGTGCAAAATTGCTAACACAGTTAGTTATAACTCTTTAAAATATGCATATTCTTCCTAAAATACATTAGCCTATAGCTTAAATTAGTACACGCAAGATACTATTATCGCCGCCACCCCCATATTTCCGAGCATAGGAAATATTTTACTCAGTTATTAAAGTTGATAGTAATATTCTGATGCAATAACACAAATATAAAAAAGTAGGTTAAAACAATGGACTGCATTCGTGAACATTAAAAAAACAAAACAACTCCAAAGTGGGTTTTAAGGTTTGATGCTTCTGAAGATGCATCCTTTAGAATCTTAGTTTTCTTTGCAAAAAAAAGTATTTGCATCCATAAATGTTAAACCAATGTACGGTGCATTCCTCTTTAAACTGCGGAGCAGTATTTGAGTCGTAGCCAGCATCACGCTGAGTAATTCTCCTGAACACAAAGAGATTATTCTGAACATTAGCCTTTACGTAATAAACATGTAAAAAGTCCAGCGTTACAATTGATGAAGCAGTAAGCCTCTTGTTCAGTGAATATTTCATGGAATCATCCCTTTTTTAACATAGTAAATACCTGCCAGAGGGGAACTAATTCTTTCAGAGTTTACGACTGACAGATGTGAGATTTGAATGTTTTCCCCTGGGACAGCAATGCTTGCCATTCCGTGAATTTATAACAAAACCTAAATGTTATGTGATTATGTGAGAGCATGGGATGATATTTGAAAGATAAGGGAATGCTCTGGTTTTTGGACAAAATTAACATGGGATCACTCCTGTCACCGGACGTACTTCGTCTCACTGGAATAGTAACGGTCATAGTGAATATAAAATCGTCCCCATGTATCCGGCCAATGACGGGAGAGTTTTGAAAGAGACAAAACACTGTTCCATACATTTAAAAACACTTAAACAATTAAACAATGTTTACCTGCCAACAAGCAGCAGTGTGCTGTCATTTCAAACATGTTACCCCCACTGTTTAACACAGTTTTACCTGTGTTTTGAAGACTCTTTCCTGGGTCAATGTGTCCTCTTTCTCCCCCCCCTGGGTGTGTGTGAGACAAGTCAAGTGAGTCAGCCTGCCAACCAGCAGCAGTGTGCTGTCATTTCAAACATGTTACCCCACTGTTTAACACAGTTTTACCTGTGTTTTGAAGACTCTTTCCTGGGTCAATGTGTCCTCTTTCTCCCCCCCTGGGTGTGTGTGAGACAAGTCAAGTGAGTCAGGCTGCCAACAAGCAGCAGTGTGCTGTCATTTCAAACATGTTACCCCACTGTTTAACACAGTTTTACCTGTGTTTTGAAGACTCTTTCCTGGGTCAATGTGTCCTCTTTCTCCCCCCCTGGGTGTGTGTGAGACAAGTCAAGTGAGTCAGGCTGCCAACAAGCAGCAGTGTGCTGTCATTTCAAACATGTTACCCCACTGTTTAACACAGTTTTACCTGTGTTTTGAAGACTCTTTCCTGGGTTCAATGTGTCCTCTTTCTCCCCCCCTGGGTGTGTGTGAGACAAGTCAAGTGAGTCAGGCTGCCAACAAGCAGCAGTGTGCTGTCATTTCAAACATGTTACCCCACTGTTTAACACAGTTTTACCTGTGTTTTGAAGACTCTTTCCTGGGTCAATGTGTCCTCTTTCTCCCCCCCTGGGTGTGTGTGAGACAAGTCAAGTGAGTCAGGCTGCCAACAAGCAGCAGTGTGCTGTCATTTCAAACATGTTACCCCACTGTTTAACACAGTTTTACCTGTGTTTTGAAGACTCTTTCCTGGGTCATTGTGTGCTCACCAGGGGCACGAGAATACCCTCCACAGAAGGGGTCGTGGTTCCGTGAAGAAGGCCGAATTTGGGTGCTCATAGGCAGCCTGCTGCAGAGTCATTTTCAGGCTCCTCTCCACAATTGTCCCCCTAAAATGATTTAAAATCATTATTTTTGCATTTAAATGCATTTATTCTATCATTTATATGGTTCCCCAACACAATGCACATAGTCTGGAGCTCACTGGGGTCCTGCATATAATTTAATCAGGCGTTTTAACACTTTTTCCCATGAAAATGATTTTTAATCACTATCATGGGGCTATGAAAATAAAATTCCGGGTAATGCAGAGCACAAGTGCACCTTTTACTATTTAAATGTATTTGTATTATATATATTTGGGCTAGAAAGGTGACCTCTCTGGGTGATTTAGTCAGTTTATGGAGCTTAGCCCACAAATCCTGGATGATCCAGGCCGAATTTGGGTGCTCATAGGCGGCCTGCCAGGCGCCCCCACCCGTGGAAAGCAAAAAAAATTGAAGAAAACGCTTAATTATAACTTAAAATAATCAAAAATGAAGTTTTGAAAAATTGTCAAAAAAATGACAGAGTGCCAACGGGAGAAGGGGCCAGACTATTGGCGCTTCAGGCCGATTTTTCCCCTTCTCCGATGGTTGGTACAACGGAGAAGGGGAAAAAGTCCCTGGGCTTCATTTCCACTTCTCTGTTAAAAAGATTCATCCATACTTTTCAAACTACCGTCTGCACGAAATCGGAAACCCAGTTTTTGGGTGCACTCAGAAAAATAACGGCTGTTGCAAATCATGGAAGAATGTATCCGCTCACCAAGCACTTTGAGTGGGCCTAATTTTGTGGCGCAAGGACCCCCCAGCCTGGTTCTCTCAATACTTAAAGTTTGACATGGAGGAATGCGAGGGCACTTTGCAGGTGACTCTACCCGATTATGAGACACTATTTTGGGACGTATTTTTTACATTTCTCTGGTTCTCCAAATAGTTTAAGTTCGACATTTTGAGCCATGGAGGAATGCGAGGGCACTTTGCAGGTGACTCTACCCGATTTTGAGACACTATTTTGGGGCGTATTTTTTACATTTCTCTGGTTCTCCAAATAGTTTAAGTTCGACATTTTGAGCCATGGAGGAATGCGAGGGCACTTTCCAGGTGACTCTACCCGATTTTGAGGCACTATTTTGGGGTATAATTTTTACATTTTGACCCCTTTGCCCGGTTATCACCAAAGTTGAGTTGGATGATTTCGACCATGGAGGAATGTCAGGGGAGTCCGCGGGGGACTCCTGCGGGGTCATGAGGCACTATTTTGGGGTAC